CAGTGCTTTCGAGATGGAATTTGTCTAACTAAATGAAAAAGAATATTTGATGAATATTCTTTTTAGATTTAAATTTTCTCTAAGACCGTTCACAAGAGCTTTCTCGAGTTGAATTACCAAATCAAAAAAAAATTAAAAAAAACACACCATTCTGCATGCGCATGTAAAACAGACGACGATGACGGCAACAGCAAAAGCACGACGAAAGAAAGAAAGAGAAAAGAAAAGATTTTATCGGTATACCAGTTGCCAGTAGAAGCAGCCAAACATCACATTACTTTTTTTTAACAATTCTCTCAATCGTGTTTTTTGTGTTTTTTCGTTGATAGGCGTAATTTCTCTACAACAGTGAACTAATAATGGCAACAACAAACTCGTTGAATTTGATTGAGACTGCTTTGACTACATGCGATAGTATTGCGATCTTAAAACAATTTCTGTTGAAAACTCAAGGTTCATGCAAGCAAGAATTCGAGTCATTATCACAGATATTAGAAGAGATTGACAAAATATTAAGAACAAATCCCAATTTTGATTTCCAAGCCGATTCGTCATTTTGGAGTCCATGGTTTTCTGTATTGAATCAAATATTTGATCAATTAGCAGATCTCTTAACTGAAAATATCAAGAAGAATGAAAAGTCTCTTAACAAAAATTTACATAGTCAAATTCAAGTATATCGGCAACAACTCACTGCGCTCGTTGACAATTACAAGGTCCATTCACAAACTAAAAGTAAGAAAGCAACTACATTAAGAAAAAAAATCACGACAACTAATCAATGTTCTGGTAAAATGATTTGATATAATGAAAAGTCATCTAATTTCCTTTAAGAGAATGATAAACACTTGTGACATATTTAGTAAACTCATTTCTATATGAAAAGATGCCTTCTCCTCCTTTGTCGAAAGTTGAAAAGACGTATTCGAATACCTGGGTTTTCTAATCCGACCAAAAAAATTCAAAACTATTTTCTGAAGTTTTTATTCATCTTTGGATTCAAATATGTTGTCAGAAAAGATTTATAGTCTTGTTCGATGATCGGAAAATAGTTTCTACATATTCGAAGAGAGCTACGTAGAACAAGAATTGAATAGCATACTCGTTGTAAAATATTATTATGCTCTAAAATTCATTCAACTCTTTTCAAGTTCGAATGGTAAAGACATACTCTAAGAGTAGTGGACAAAAATCTCTCATCTAGCAGATCTCAGTTTCCATAAACGCAAGAGGTCTCAAAATTTTCGTACACATACGTAGACCTATAACAGTTCAAGCTCATAAGTTCGATTCTTTCGACAACAAGAACTGTGGGAAGATTCTTGTGATAAGGAGTGAATTGTTGAAACTTTTTTTTTTACAAGAATTGAACTGTGCCAACAGTTCTCATGAATGATGAAGTTCTACGAATAGTTTAGTAGTTCGTTTTACAGGAATCTATGCTTTCTTATGGGTCATATTAAAGAAACTCTATAGTGCATAAAACTGCGAGAAAAAAAATCGGATTTTACGACAATATTATAGTCTAAATACCAAAAGCTAATTTAAAAAATCGACGAGATGACCTTTTATTTAATACCATTGTTTGTGTGGAATGTGCAAAGAGATAGAGAGAGAACATGTTCTCCAATGTAGAGAGCGAATGCAAAGACAACCGATGATAAATAGTGATAACAGATGATGGACAGTATAAGCAGATATTATAGAGAACGCTAGAGTGGATAATAGTGTGCAAGTTAAGAGCATTTTTAAGTTACTATTCTGTTCGCACTCAGTACTAGATTTGTTAACCGATGTAACGTACTTGTAACTGCAATGTTCATTTTGATAATCTATTTATGTGCATACATCTATTTTGAACATGTTTTCTAGACCCAGTATCAGTGAAAGATCGAACTTATGCACGCACTACAACCAGAACTAGAAAAGCGGCGCCATGTTGTCATTCATAAATCAGGACAAAACCCAGGCACAAATTTTCGAACGAATGATTAATTCATCTTCATGTTTATTTCTGTTTATAATCTTTATCAGTAGCAGAGCATTGAGTTTTTTTTCACAAGTCATTCTCTCCTCTAATAAGTGTCGTTCTTAAATGTGCTGGAGCGCTTCTGCTTATGATTTCTCACTAAATATACATGCGATTACGAAAACTTGATCGACTACGTCAGTTTCACAATCGACGATGACAACAGAATCTCCTTCATTAGAACTGTTGTACTGATTTAACTCTTTTCAACAAAAGTTTTCGACAGTGCGTGTGATCAGCATTGATATGGAACTGTTACAGGTTTACACATACTACGCAAAGATTGTAGATCAGAGACATGATGTCACTCTAATTGCTTGAAACTTTTTCATTTGATAAAGTCATTTTTGCGTTACTTTTTGTCAACTACATGATTGATTCCTGATATTTTAATATGTAACGGAAGTTTCTCTTTAGAAGAAGATTCTTCTCTGAGAATTATAGGCAAACAATTTTCAACTGAAGATAAAAGTTTCCTCCAAGTTAAAGTTCGATTCATTGAATTGTTACTGACTAAGGATGCATTAAAACCGATTCTAACCAATTTTAACCGAATATTAGCAGTTCTAATTCCAAGTCTGATTATCTGGGATTGACTAAAATTGAAATCGACGCATCTCTACTACTGAGTTATAGTCTACAAAAAGGTATCATGAATCTTTCGTCCTCTCGAATAATGACTATTCTAACAAGAGAGATCTTTTATGGTGAAGACTTTTGTCAATGTAGTCATCTAACATTTAGAATTCTACAATTATTTTATAATGTTAACACTTGATTTCGGCTGTTAAAATCATCTTATGCTACAGTTCACATGTTTTTGATATGAAACCCGAAAGGAAAGGATTAGGATGCCTTTTTTTTGGCGAGAAAAAAATAACTTGGATACAGCTAAATGAAAAATAAGTTGATTCATATTAATTTTTATCTATATTGTAATTTTTCATATTGATACCAGTCTGACAAGCATCAAATCATGTTTTGGAGAGTAGTGTGGTTTTATTTTGCATACAGTCTTCTTTAACTGATTTACTTTCTTTTTTTATCCGGAGAGAAGACAAGAAAATTTTGCATTATATCTGACATTCACTCTCAAACATTTTTGTACAATAGTTCGAAGTAATCAGTAACTATAAAACTCGAAAAGTTGGTTTAATTGAAAATCAAATTTTCAAATTTACAGTAATGCGATACGATAGTATTCATAATCGAGAGCTCTTACTGTATTCAAGTGAAGTGCGTGTGTACTTCTAAATCAACCCGTGACTCATATATGGCGTTTCAAATTGTATTTGCCTATCTCAATGGTCCCATGTATCGGTCAATTGTTAGATGCTTTTTTCTTTCCGTCTCAAATTTTTAATCGCTAGAGTGAAGCACTTGAATCTGTTAGTTTTCAATTGAATCAAGTCTAACAGTTTTACACTTATGATGAAAATTAGAAATGGTATGAATCGTACTGAATCCTTTTTACCCACGATTGCATCTCCGAAACGAGTCTATTAGAGAACAAATATCGATTTGAGTCGCTTCAAAGTATGCTCAATTTTTTCTTCTTTGCTGACCTTTCCCCTCTCTGTTGGTTCAATTTTCAGGAAGTCATGAATTTGACTGCAGTTTAGCCACTATCCTTTTTAAAAAGGTTGTCGATTGTAGACGGGACTGAAAAAAAGGTATCCACATAGGAAGGTTTTACTGCATGTATTGATGCCGAAAATCAGCATGATATGTAAATTACACAAATAATACAAGAATATAAAATGGTCTATATTTGATAGAGTCTATGATCTTTTTTATTTCAAACTGAATTTGGGAAAAAAAAATTACTCCAATTTTTCCAAAACGACAGGATCTTGGGGGACTAAGAAAGCCGCCTGTCTATTAACGAAGCCTGAGACAGATGGACATACTATATAAAAATAGTACAACAAACATTTTATCTATCCTAAGTCAACGACATCCTTATTTATCTAATGCAACACTTCGAATAACTCCTTACTATCTCTTTTTTCGGAGGGTGAGACTAGGAGTACCAGAGTGGCTTATAACCTATTTACCGCTTTACAAAAGAAGGTATATACATATATATGTATATGTCATTTTTAAGTCCCCCAGGTCCACTAAGTTCTGCTCTTCTGAAAACCGGTGGGTATATATACATAAATATATGAATGAATATTTCTTACGTCTCCCTAGTCTTCCATTCCTATTTGAAATCAAGTGTTTTTGTTTTTGATCTAAATTTCGATTGAAATTAAATAGCCTATTGTTTGGTTTGTAAGAAAAACTAACAAGGCCTGTTGATATAACATTTCATAATTAATATCAAATAGATTTCAAAAATTAAAACTTACATCTGATTCTATATTTCTTCGATCCTCCATATTTTTGACAAAGTCACAAGATATACATTATTTTCTTTTCATTTCGATTAGAAAAAAAATCGATTTATCATTGATCAATCACTATTAGAATATTGCTTAAGATTTTCTCGTCCTTCATCAAATGATTCTGGTCATAAAAGGACTAGCATACATTTGAAACATATCTCTAATTTCAAAAGAAATGTTTCTGAAAATTCATTGAACATCTGCTTTAGTTTCAATTGAAAATTAGATTAAAAAGAGATTATATACTGTAGTCTCTACACTTGTTTTTTGTTTTTTAAATTCTTTAATATACAACCTAGATGAAACATGTGATTTCATTGGTAAAGGACCATTGGATGATCAACCATTTAAACACAAAGCATCAGACATATCAGAACAAACTGTTAACGATGTGTATCAAGATATTCAAGAATCGATAAGCAAACCTAATACAGATATTATAGTGAACTATATCCAGAGAATTCAAGACCAACATTCCTCCTTATCTCCACTACCGCCACCACCACCACCGTCACGACTACCGTCAAGATCACCGCTGCCATCAGCACCATCAGGACAGTCGCCGCCGCCACCACCACTACCGGTACCAGCACCTATAATGCCACCACCATCACCAACGCCAAGTCGAGGATCTGTAGAATTAGCACATACGACTACTTGTTGCGCTTGTCTATTTCGCCGTCCACAACAAAATCAACATCGTATGACTCAATCCGATCAGCGTCACACATCTACTTCGAAACAGCATCTGATGATCAGCTATAACTGGGATACACAGGCTATATGCAAGAAAATCTATGATCGTCTTCGATCAGACGGATATACAGTATGGTTTGACGTTCAGAATATGCACGGATGTATTTATACGGCAATGGCCAAAGCAGTCGAACAATCGCAGGTTGTTCTGTTTGGAATGACTGAAAAGTACAGAAATTCCGATAATTGTCGTAAAGAATTAACATACGCATGTAAGAAACGTAAACAACTTATTCCGTTAAGACTTCAAGAAAAATACGATCCTGATGGATGGCTAGGTCTCATTTCAGCCGAATTGCTCTATATTGATTTTACGAAGAAAGATTTTGATACAAATTATCAGAATTTGCTAAAGGAAATTGAGTCTACTGAAAATGTTGTGTGAATAATACAAATGTAATGATTTTCATTTTTTCTAGAATAAACATTGAACGAATGGATGTCAATTGATGATCTGACTTTGCTGTAACGACAAACTGGATTGAGTAGCTTACCGCCACTGTCGACAATGATGTTTATTTAGCTACTTCACATATATCACACGCCTATCTAGGAGAGAACAATAGAGACAAGATATAGAGGAAACAGCAAGGGAAGATCAACGGAAGGTGATATCAATGTCGGCACATTCTCCCACTCAGATGAGACACGTTTCTGAGCGTCTATACAATATAGAAAAAAAAAGAAAAGGAAATGGGTACGTATAGAGAAGAGAAGAAAAAAAGGACATGAATAAATTCAACGATAAGCTTGATGACAATCATTTCAGTTACATATTTTCACACTTATGTACAAAATTACTTAAGTTATTTGTTTTCGTACTTTTTGCAATATTTTTAATTCATTACATAAATGAACAATTCATATTATTCATTTAATTACTTATTGAACAGTTTAGATTCAATCAATTGGCTGCGAATGTGGGTGTTTCTTTAGGTCATCCACGTCTACACCACATTCTTCAAGTATTACAGCACTTTTTTGAATCAACTAATGTAAATCTCAAGTAGTGAAATTATTACTGTATAAAAGTATCATTAGTCGATCTTGAGGCAATCATTAATGACATGATAAGCAGAAAAATAATAGAATAATGCTTAATATTATAGAATATAATTCAGCCGCAAGAGACATTTGTTGAAAACTGTTTTGTCATTATAGCGCGAAAGTAGGTAAACCATAGATTATGGATACGAGTTTTTTAGTAGTTTTATGTTTGATAGAATTTGTTTATGAGCATAGGGGATGATCTGAAAAAAAAGTGTATGAAGTGTACCTAGAATGTTCGTTTTTCTGAAGAAAATGTAGGAAAGAATGCTAGTAAATTGATTATTTTAATTTGTTTTATTTTCGTCATATTCATAAATGAACTTTCCTTGTTGTAGAGGTACAGTTAGATTTTACGTATATGTAGTCAATGGTAGCCCGGCCGGGGAAAGGAAGGTGAATGTCGAAGGTGAAACATCGCTCTCTCTCCACTTTCTGAATCTTATTAGCATCGTCTTTTCAACTTTACATCAATTTTACGCATGTTATTTTATAGGTGTTTTAGTTTCTGTAACTGATGGTTTACCAAATCGTGGAAATTCACATCAAATTCAACTTTAAATAGTTCTTCACTATAATTCATATTAAAAATGATTGATATTCTTTATTATTATTACTATTCAATTAAACAAACTAGATGACTTCTTCACAAAGTTGAAAATTCGAAATAAGATGCGAAATGCTTTCTCTCGAATATCTGAAACGTCGATATTTGATCAGGATGTAGGTGTGTGGGCGTGAGTGTATTAGTTATCATTGAATTTTCGAAATCGAGGCGACTTGATAGTATGAAATACAATAATATAATGATGAAAGTAACGAAACAATCTAATCTGTTTATTTATTATTTCGATCAAGATATGCAATGTTTGGTTCTAACTTAGAATATCATCAGTTAACATATTAGCAAAAGGACAGAAAATACTACTTTTTTTTTAAAGAGAAATCTAGAGAAACAGCAAGTTTTTATATAGCATACATTTTGGACTCAATAAAAAAAAGGAAAGCATTTTTCATTCTTGTTGACTTTATAAACATTGAGTAAGTCGGGCATTTTATTATATTTAAATAGTTCAATTTGTTCCATTTTTAATTCTCTATCTTTTACTAAAATTTAAAAAGAATTTTGTTTATGTTGCCGAAAGTTGAGTTAAAAGATAAATTAACGAAGTTTCACGAAGAAAAATTCATGAATTTTCGTTGCATTTCCGAAATTCGTAAAAATGCGTTAAATTTTTCACGTATAACTCCTTTTAACAGTAACTAACTCGTTACACGTCGTTAAAAGTTGCACTCCTTTTCACGCATGTAGTACTTTAAATTTCTCACTTGAATTATATGCCATCCGTATAAGTGTCTAGAAGAAGCATTCACATGTCTTATCATCTAATATATATTGGAGCACGTCCTATTATAATGTATTCTATGAATAGTGCTCGAGTCAGCACCAGAATCAGGATTTTGGATTAGGGTGGTGACTGAGGCCCCTCAATTGCTCTAGTGGCATGATCTGGTGATAAAGATGGTAAGAGGTATGTGCTTGATGAACTTTAGAGTGATTTAACGAAGCTTATACAAAAATTGAAGCTTATTTATCTTAATTTCAAAACTATCATGAATAATTTTTCATTGTAAGACATTCTTAAGGTATGAACGAAAATGTATTGTAGAGAACGCTAGTTTTAAAAATATTTTCGAAATAATTTAAGAATAACTATCGAGTCATATAATTATAAACATTAAACGGTGACTTATCATTGAATATCGTTGGTATCCTTCTTTACATTAAACAAATTATTGAAGCAACATTATCGTGTAAAAGTTAGTCAATGATGGGATCGAGATAAGTCCAGTAATTTTCGAATAAATTTTAACTCATCTATACCTGTGTTGTTCATTCCTACAATTGATTTCTGATTTTGTTCACGTGAGAGTAGACCATATAAGAACAAAAATTATTAGCTACTTCTTTTCTGATAATTTCTAGCTGAGAAAAAAACTAGTTATAAAAGTAGAGAAAATCGATACATTTAAAGCCAACAATAATATAGTTGTACATTTGAGTGAAAGAACTATTCTTTTTTCTTAAAACTCAAGATTTATTTATGTAACTTGACCTAAGATTTTTCGAAATATTGCATTATTGAGTTGAGATAAACTGACCTTTTAGTTCGTAGAATTCGCATCTAATATGAAAAACGTTGACTTACTCATCTTAACTCAGTACTTAAGCTGATCTATACATTATTGTACAGCATTTTTCATTCATATATTGTTGACCGTTAGTATGATGAACTGTCTTCAGTGATCAACATCGTCTTAAGTTTCATTCGTCTGAAGAGGAATATTCAGCTTTCTTTTATCAATATATCAAAATTTAAACTAGTATAGTCTTATCATTTCTGTCATGCTAGGTTATACATTTCTAGCACATATATGGATTCAAACATAACAATAAAAATGTAATTCAAAGCTTTTTACGAATCTCGTTCATCATATATTAAACAAAATTCAATGTACAACTTTATTTTACATCGTTATTAAAATTTGAGTTTTTAATGTCATTTAAAGAATTTAATTTTTTCCAGTAAGTCGACGAATATTATTCTCGGTTTTCTGTCGATTTGGATGGTCAACAGGAAGAAATTTCTCATAAATAGTTAATGCCTGCTGATAATAGTCAAGTGCCATCTTTTGTTTGTTTTGATTTTCATAACAAACGCCAATATTATTCAAACTACAAGCAGTATCGGCATGACCAGATGGATAAAATTTCTCTCGAATTTTCAATGCATTTTGATGATAATCGAGAGCTTCATTATATTTTCCTTGAGTATTGCGAATAGCACCAATATTGTTGAGAGTATGAGCAATATCGACATGACCAGATGGATAAAATTTCTCTTGAATTTTCAATGCTCGTTGATAATAATTGAGAGCTTCATCACATTTTCCTTTGTCTCTGAGAATGTTACCAATCCAGATAAAGCTCGTAGCCATAAAGACATGATCAGATGAATAAAATTTCTTTTGAATTTTCAATGCTCGTTCATAACAATCGAGAGCTTCATCGTATTTTCTCTGTAGACAGAGAACAATACCAATGTTGTTGAGACTCTGAGCAATATCAATATGATCAAATGAATAAAATGTCTCACGAATTTTCAATGCTCGTTGATGATATTCAAGAGCTTCATCATACTTTCCTTGTCGATTAAGAATATTACCAATATTGTTTAGTACATGAGCAGAATCTTTGATTCGTACTGGCTCACTATTCATCATTCGATTATACGCAAGATTATAATATTTTCGTGCTTCCTTCCATTCACCTTTAAATTCAAGAGCTCGACCAATATTAAATTCAATCCAAGCAGGATCTTCATCATGTGAATCATTTAATAATTGTTGAAAATATTTTTGTGATTTATCATATTGACCTAAATTACATAATAATCTACCAAAAACAATTGCAACACTTAATTCTTCTGTTTCTTTTTGTGTTAATTCAAGAAAATCTTTAGTACTTTTTAATCCTTCATTTGATATATTCATTTTAATTATTTGTAATGATTCACTTTCTTCAATAGATTCAATTTCAAAACATGTATTTAAATCAAATAAAACTTCTTGTTCTTCTGGATGATCACTAAATTGAACAATATCAGCAAAAATAATATTTTTATCAATTTGTTTTATATTACATTGAATAATAAAAAGAACAGGAACGACATCAATTCTTTTTGATGGTTTTAATGCAAAATTTAATGCTAATGATTTTTGTCGACTAGTTGATACATATCCATTCATTGAAATAAGTTTTCTTTGATTTTCTTTTAATTTATTAAATTCTTCTTTATCAAGTTTAATTCCTCGATAAAGAATTAAAATTTTTTCTTTTGATAATAAAATTTTTTCATGTTCACGTTGAAGATTTTCAGAAAGATCAGCAATAAAAAATCGAAATATATATAATAAATCAATATCTTCAATTCTTAATGCTTTATTAATTAATTTATAAATAAATGATTGTTTTGAATACCAACGAATTGCATCTTTTGATTGATAATTTTGTTCAAAATCATAAATTAATTTTAATTCTTTTGTATTTCCACGATAATATTCTTTACATATTTGAATCATTTGTTGTTTTGCTTGTTCATTTCGTGGTAGACGCGTAATAACATAATTAAATAATTGAAACCAAAAAAATTTTGCTGATTCTTTTGATAAATCTTTAGTTAATTTTTCATGTTGATCAAAATAAGAAAATGTTTGTATTTGTTTATTAATAAAATCAATTTGTTCTTTAATTGATTTACATAAATCATCTAGATTAATATAAATTCCAATAATATTTGAATATTCATTTAATAAATATTCATATCGTTTTTTATTCATACAAAAGATAAAAATTGAATCAATTTGAGAACGATGAAAAATTCTAGATAAAATTTGTGATGCTTTTGATCCTGATGTAATTAAAAAGATTTTTTCTATATTAATTGATTGAATAAATGAAATACATTGTTCAAGATCAGTAGAAAAAATAACATAATCATTAATAAGACGAAGTTGTTGTTTTGTTCGTTCAGTATCTTCATATGATCCAATATTTGGATCAAACCAAATAAGTGTTGTACTTTCTTTATTTTCATCATTTGTTGATCTATTATTCAATGTTAATGTTTCTGCCATGATCACTACAACAATGAGTTTTTTTGTTTTTATTAGTAAAACTCAAGTTCAAACTAAGAAAAATAAACAAAATTGATAAGTATTCTAATGAATAAATATTTTCTTCAGACAATATTCACAAGCACTAATTAATATCTTTTTTTTCTCCTATTTAAATTAAAATGTTGATATTTTTTGGTTTTCGTTTTATACAAATTGTGGCTTACGAGAGAAGGTCACCAACTGTTCAATCGCTTTTGAGTCGGAACTATGTACAGCATGTAGGTCCTAATGAGCTATAAATATCCTGAACAGAGTTCGGGTCGCCAGCTTATTATTGTCGAGATACTGCATTTTTGTGGTATTTTAAATTAAGTACAATGCTGTGGTCGCTCTCAGGAACACTAGAAAAAATGAATTTCGAATTTTAACTTGAAATTTTGCATAGAAACAGGTCTCATTGAGAGTAGTTTATTGTGAAAGTTTCAGATATTTTGGTTGTTCGTATCGTAAGATACGGCTAAAAAGAGTGTTGTTACACTGCTCGTATGCCTCCGATAGGTTTCGATGTTCTTGTTTCAGAATAGGAATAATCAAAAGATTTGAAACTTTCACAATAAACTACTCTCATGGAGATCTGTTTATGTGCCAAATTTCAAATCAAAATTCAAAACTCAGTTTTGCTCGTGCTCCCGAGAGGGACCACGGTATTCTGCTTAACAATATCGTAAAAATGCAATATGTCGATAGTAATAAGCTAGCGGTCCGAACTCTTTTCAGGGTATTCATAACTCATTAGGACCTACATGATGTACATAGTTCCGACTCAAAAGCGATTGAACAGTTGGCGACCTTCCCTCGTTAGTGAGATTTTTATTGACTTT